CACTTAACAGTTTGAAAAATACCTCATTTGTCACTTTCAGACATCCTAATTTTTCTCATACATATTAATATCTTCTCCAAACTGTAAGATTTTTTATGGTTAAACATTCCATACCATGAGAATCAGAACAAAGCCAAGCAAAATACCCATCAAGATGATGTCATTCAATGATCGTGCCAAATTTTACCCTTGTAAACTTGTCTAAACTTGTGCTGATAACTAGTATGAAACATAAACACTAAGGCATTAGAGCACATAAAAGAGTAAGAATGAGGACAAGAAAACTACAAACAATTAGGTCAACATTCACCTAGTTGTACTCACTTTGAAAGAAAAAATGAAGTTACTTCAAGGACAAAAACAGAAATGGAAATTGTGAGATGAGAAAGCATCACACTTACCAAGAAGAGAATCCCCCATTCTGAAAGAATCTTAACATCTGTAAGATTTCTAATTAATCCAAGCTGATTAAGCACAACTCCAGCAAAGAAAAAACCAAGTATCTGCAATCACAAGGAGAATTAGCATTGCCTGCTATTGGAGAGATTCGCTGCCATAAATTGCAAAATCCTCAACACACTACCATCTAAAGTAGTCGTGAGCATCTAAAGTAATCGTGAGCACCTTCAAATGTGTGATCTTATTATATTGCATGATAAGAAGGTAGCAAACAGCAGAAGGTTGAATGAACATTCTCAACTAAATTTGAAAGTATGGTAAATAAGAGGGTGGAAACATATCAAGGAATGCAAGACATAATGCAGATGTGGCTAGTAACAGTCTCATTGATTCACACAAATGTAGATTTGATTGCACAAATAGGTGACAAAAGGGAAGGCTAATAAAACATCCTAAGCATGAAAGTTAGATTCGACTCTTAAAACAAATTTTTGACGAAATTTCTTAGTAATCTTCAGATTCATGCATCAGAATAAGGTCATAGAGCATTATAGGCATAATATAAGAGGACCAAGGGACCAGAGCTGCACGCAGCGATCTATTAATGCACAGACACATACAAGAGGAAATCCATAGCAAATATGGCTGCTGGTAGACAAGTAGTGCTCATGCTTGTGTTAAGGTAATAAAATTTCTAGCATGGTTGAACTGGCAGAATATCGAGACTTCTCAACAAACATCTGAAAGCGATGTGCAATTTGCAACAATCTATGACTCCCTATGTTTCAGAAGTGTCAAGCGGAGAAGATTTAACAGCTTTTAGAAACAGTTGAACAAGGAAGATGATTCTTGGAACTTGGGGATTGATACCAGTAAGCAAAAAAGACAGATGCAGTAAGATGTGAAAAAGTTCGCTCCTAGGAAAATCGCTGGCTCAGCTTCAGTATTTTATCACCAAAGGTTACTTTTTTTTAATATATATATATTTTTTCAAAATTCACTTTTGTAAAGCATTAAACAGAAAACAGTGTGAAAGTATTTGAAAAGATCACCAATAAATACAACAACATTTCTAAAATAAAAGGAACCATAAGATCACCTAAAAGGCTAAAGCTAAACCACAGCTAGAACTTTTACTGCCTCTTTTGCTGGTAAAGGTTTCAAAGACATAAATCCCAGAAGGAGTAACATACTTTGAATCAAATACAAATACGTAACTAAAGTCAAAATAAAGATTTTGGCATTAGACATGCATTCTCTGTTCTTGCGCATCAAAAGTTCTGGGCTGAAGCAAATTTAATTAGATAATTAGAAATTATCCCAAGTTAACTTACAGGGCTGGCTTTGATGGTTTTGAAGGCAGGAACAACCAATACAATTACAACTAGCAATGTCAATGAGTCTGATCCTAAGTCATTGATGACTTCAACAGCACTGGAGACATCAACTACCGCAGATAAACAGAATCTATTCTTCTGACTCTGTCTATCATGGAAGCAGGATCTTTTTCCATCAACACTCTGGTTAGATAGCCAAGGCGTGCCTTTGATGATAATTTGTGAGAAACAACCTGGATAACTTATCCTGGTATACGGCGAATCTGATGGCAAGTATGCTGGCCGATCATAAGCACATGAAACATAGTATCGATAGATATGCATGTGAGAAGCAGCTCTGCCAAAGCTTCTTCGAGCTATAATGTCATATCCCTGCATGTGAGCACAACAAAGGGACAAATATGCATTAGAAACAATTTCAGTCCTTCTTTGAGGAGCATCAAATTATTACACCTACTTAGTACTCCCAAAATTGTTTACAACATAATCTCCATTTTCTAATGGTGCAAATCCATGCAAAACAGAAAAGACCAGAACATTTGAATCAGATCCAGTACAAACCTCTTTTGGTTTCTCCTTTACCTGGCATCATACAGGGTAAAAGATTATTCTTGCTACTTATCTGACCTTTGACATAAAACAGACTAGAAGAATTCACATAAAAATGATTGGTAATGTTAGCTACTAGAGCCCAACAGTATGACAGTTCTCATATACCAATTTCCATTCAGTTTATGTATGCAGTATATCTGGACATACGTCAAATGAACATAGGATCATGAGATCGTGGAAAGCAACCATATCTATCAATGCTAAAAGATAACAAGAACTTCTGATACCAGACACCAATTGGAACTCCTTTTGGGCTCTTCTTTGAATACAGAAGTCATCTTAAGTTGTCGGATTAAAAAAAAAAATCCAGTTCTATCAAATGCTGAACAAAAAGGCATCAACGATTATCCACTTTCAAAAGTAGAGGAACTCAAGAAACTTAGCTCCTATTCTGATTTAACTACGCATTCATAAAAAAATAAAAAAATGGCCATTTATTAACTACAGATAATCTAACATGCTTAACTTGTCACAGAAGACTTAGATAAAGCAGTTATGAGCCTCGTTGCATCAGTCTTCAACTACTATGCCAAGTAAACAGCAGAACTTTGTAAGAATCGATCAGAGATTGAGAGATTTGCTCCTTAATCCATGAACAACACTAAGCCTGTATATTAACAGCATCTACAAAATTTTCCTGGAAAAAGATTTTCCTCTAAGTCCAACAGTGACATCTAATTTTAGCATAAAATGTTTCCTAATCCTTTAAACAGTTCAAAAATGAAAAAGTTTACCCCAAATCATCCTCAACGTTATCAACCCTCGAAACCAAATTCCCACCCCTGGCTCCTCCCTCTAAACATCATAATGGGGCAGAGTGAAAGGCCATCACTACAATCCCAATCGTCTCCGTTTATGCCACCCATAGCACCATCACCACCTTTATTTATTACTCATTTTTCACCAACTGTTGCGACAACCAAAAGAACTGTATAAGCATCGCCCAACACATTGCCTGAAGAAACATTCAAATTCTAGTCCCAAGTTCCGATAAGCACCAAGTAATGTGTTCTGACCACTACCCAAGTGGAGCCTAGACATAAAATATAGATGCTGAACAAACTATAAAATAATGCTTAACAAACTAGAAAAAGTGACCAACGGCAGGGACAGAGTAAGTTATTTATCTATATGACTACGTCGGGGTATCAAGAGCACCACCTTAGATTGGTAACAACTAACTATCTGAGAGATTTTACTAGGACCCAATATTTGGCTGGTGAGGCTCTCATTTGTTTCCTTCACAGCTAATCCGGCCTGCTAAAGACAGTTTAATAACCCGCAAGGTTGAGAATTCTTCATTCGAAGATTGGAAAGAAAAAAAAATAGTTTCCCTTTCTTCAATTCTTCCAAGAAACGTCAAAAAATCAGAACTTTACGCAAATAGCAAAAAATAAAGATATCTAAAAGTAACTAACTTGGGAAAACTAAGGAGTCGTTGAGTTGTTACCTTGGGACTGTGATGGTAAGAAATCATGGAACCCAACATGATAGCTGCTATCTTTTGTCAGAAACCATTCATGGAACCAGTGCAAACTCTGCAAATGCCTCCCACAAATACCCCAGAAAAACGAAGGAAAGAAACATGATGAAGATAAGTACTAGGATACTAGCATTTGGGTTCTGTGAGTCTTTCAACTTTGATACAGGATAACATCTGAGAGTATAACTTTAATTTACGTTGTAGCAGTACTACTAGTGAAAAAAGAGGAGGAAGATGGGTGGCCGCAAGCGCAAGGTAAAGGGCCAGGTGAATTTGGGTGTTTTCTTTTGTGAGTGAGTGACAAAGAGAGTGATAATTGGACAAAGAAGGCTGAAGAAATGAGAGGCAGAAGCAGAACCACCCCTCCCCTGGTTGGACTTGGAACTTGGAAGACCCTGCATTTCTTTCTCCTTCCGTTTTGTTTGTGTGAATGTCAAATCTTCAGCCCACTCCCGTATTTTGGCGTTTTTGCTGACTGGGATCCACGTAATTACTTGTAAGTGATAGAAGGGAATTTTTGATAAAAAGGGTACAAATTTTGTACGGGAATAAATAGACAAAGAAAAAATCACAAAAAAGAAAAAAAGGAGTGTTATTTTTGTTTTTGATCATAAAACCAATGCCAGTCATTGAAAAGCTTCAATCACTAATAATAATAATGTCTAATGAGAATGCATCTTTTTTTTTTAAACAATTAATAACATCTGTACCATCCTGCTCTACCATGAGAATTCTTTTAACTGCAGAATGCAAGATTAAACCCCAAGAGGGATTTAAATCCCAAGAGATTTGGACGAGTCGAGTCGAGTTGGTTGATAGTTGATACAGCCATGTTCAGCGCAAAAATCTGATACTCTTCTATCAAATCCTGAAACGGACCTCCCTCGTCGAAGCCACGGGCAGGACAGACTTGGCATCTTGTTTCCATTCCATGATACGAGCAGTAGACATTATTCATGTCGCTTGCTCAAACACCAAATCAAATGGCCGATTCACATTCGTGTGCAAATCGAAGCAGGCAATATAATGGTCTCCGAAATTCACACCAACTGCACTGCATGCCCAACTTTTCTCTCCAGCATGAAATGAAACCACCAACTCTTCTTACCAACAAAAGAATAAAATTAACTAAACTGAACCTGATTTGTGGGCGGATGACTAAAGGATGCTGCACAAAAACTTCTTAATCATATTACAGTAGTAAATTCAAATTGAACGAGCAGATTCAACGATCACAGATCATTTTCCCTTGATAAGTGATAACTAGTTCCATAATTTCTGTTGCCAAAACCAAGTTCACTTCTGGACACCCTTGCACTTGCGCACATACATGACATCGATAACCAGTATATCCTCAACGTAACAAGAAATATTTATTTCAACAGCACAACATCATTATCCATCAATGGATCAAAATTACTTTTATGTTTAAGACAGAAGATGCAGAAGGAGGGCGCAGAATAAGGAAAAAGGTTCATATTTTGGCATCAGAATTTGCAGGAGTGAACTTGAGTGAAATGCTATTGACACAATGACGCTCGTCTGTTGGTGTCGGGAATCCTTCACCCTTAAACACATGACCAAGATGCCCACCACAAGCAGCACATGTAATTTCTATCCTCCTTCCATCTGGGTCAGGCTGAAGATCAAACAGGTATGGTCATTAGCACAGAAAACTTCGTCAGAATGATACTTCGAAAAAATAACAACGCGGAGATAGAGCACAAGAATATGAGAATGAAACTCACAGTGCGATTTATTGCACCAGGAATGCCCTCATAGAACGCTGGCCATCCACATCCAGAGTTAAATTTAGTTGTGGACCTGTACAGGGGTGTTCCACATCCTGCACAGTTGTAGACACCTTCACTATAGAACTTGTCATATTCCCCTGTACCTGGATACCTGTGGAGAACTCCAGTGGATTATCATCACATAAAGCAATAGTAAGTCAAAACATTCACCCCTTGCACTCTGGAAGCATGAATAACGCTAACAAGATAAATAACTGATGCACAAGGAGCTAGGTTGCATAGCATGGAGAGCTAGTGTCTTTCAGCCTGAGCTAAGGATCTATATATCACGGTCATAATTCATACAAGTATATGCATAAAAGTCAGTACACTAAAATTGTTCAGCTGCAGCGTTTGCTCTTTTTGACTACAGCTTCAGCGTAACACCTATCAAATGATATACAGAAATGAATCCTTGAGTCACTCTCATGCTCAGTATTGTTTATTTTTACAGCATGTCTTTAGAAAGAGAAGAATAAAATGTATCACTATATCCTACTACTACTTCTACCCTTTCTCTTTAAAGGAGAGGCTGAATGGAGCAATTCTTCCGCATGCAATTCGTCAAAGATACCATATGTTTCTTCTAAGCTCTCTATAATCTGTGTTTTCCATCATGGGGCTGGGGAAAGACAATTAGGATTTTTTACTTAATTATTTCAACTCTCTATGGTTTACCATCCCTCAGCCCTCTCTGTCACTTTGGTACTGCTGTTCCTTCCCCTTTGCAAGAGGAAGAATTCTGTCTGTTTCTCAAGCATGTCAAGAACTTGTATTTTTTGTCTTTGTCATAAGATAAAACTAGAGGACCTTTCAAAGCTATGTCTGATGCGGGAGCCTGCCAATGCAATCTTTTGCACATATGACAAATTAGCAGTAACAGACTAACAGGTGATTTTCGGAGGCCATCTTTTACACATACGACAAATTAGTGGAAATGGTAAGTAGAGGTTCGATACCTAAGTGTATGTAGTGCATCACAAGAGGATCGGTTTGCACAGAGAGCGAAATATTCTTTCACAATGTGAAAATTGGTGATTCCACAGCCAAGATTTTACCCTAGGGTAGTTCAACAATTTCAATTAAATGGGACAGTAAGATTGCAAGAATTTAACCCTTTACCTCATGCAACTATCCATTGTCCTTCATCCCTTAGATAGAGAAGATGCAGTGGCACCTTTGCCTTCACTGTTCGTTTCCTAAAGTAGATGATTATTTAGCCAAATGACTGGTATCAGAGAGCACCAAGAGCTTAGTATAACATATTTTGGAGTCTGTCAACCATGACGTACCAAATTCTGTAATTAGCTTCCCCTAGGTGGTGAATTATCCAATTGACACCCCCCCCCCCCCCCAACAACAAAAACCCCCAAAAAAAAAAAATCATCCCAAGATTCCTAACCCAAGGCCTCCTTGGCCCTTGCAGAAAACATTTTACGACAGCCTTTAAAGCTACAAGCACAACCAGGAACGACATCAGACCAAACAAGGAAAAAAATTGTCGAATAACAAGAAAGTTTGAAGAATTTATTCGAGGAATAAAGCAAAAGCTCCGGTAAAAAATAAAAATGAAGAAGAAAACATACTCGGTCCCTTTTTGTCTGAGAATGCGGAACTGTTCAGGAGAAAGAACTGCACGCCATTCTTCCTCAGACTTCTGAACTGATCCGGGCGCAGCAGTCATGGCTACGACCCCACCTCTGATGCCTCTCTTGCTCTGATAGTGAACCGATGCACCAAACCAAGGTGCCAAATCGCTTTCTTTAAGTGGTCGATAGGATAAAGGTCTAAACTTGGCCTTGAATAGACCTGTAACAGGGGGAGTTGAATTTGGGAGAAATGTTCTTGGGAGCAAAGGGGTGGAATTGAAAATTGTAGTTCTAGAAGAAGCAATTGGTGATATTTTCATGATTTGAGAACCCATTTGTGATAATCTTTGGAGGGTTTTGTTTTGCAGGGCGCCAAAATAAATTCAGCTTAATTCAATTCATCGTCAATAACGGATAACGATTTTCCAACAACGCTTGCTTCTTTCCTTATATTGAAAAATATAATTAAATAAACGAGTTCTTATTGCTCACCCACGGACTTGGATGGATATGTATGCGGTTTGTTCGTTCGCCATTTGCAGATTTGCCTCTGGACATGCCATTGCCAGCAAAATGATTTTTATGTTTTGATGGAATATTGTCCACTAGGAAACTTCCGAAGGTAATTTTACACCGCCAATGAATGTATGGGTGGTTTTTTTAAAAAAAAATAAAATAAAATAGGACGTTAGATCCATTACCCAACATTTTCCTTTTTTATTTTTTTTATAACACTACAAGTGATTTGCAATACAAACTGGGAGGACCCGAATTTTTCTCACTTATAATTCTATTTTTATGATTTATTTAAATATTTATTCACCCGTTTTCTCTAAATAATTTATTTCAATCATTTTAAATCCATTTATATGGAATAATGTCTCAATTATATTTTTAAAACGTTTCATTAGTAAATTTAATTTTCTAGGGCTCATTTAATAAACAAATAGCGAGTACACATTTTTCGAGTTACTAATCGATCCGAGCGTACAATAATTTTGGAGAATTGAGGACTCATGTTTTATTTTTAAAATGGTTATTTTATAATTAATTACATTAGTAGTAGTTAATTATATAATCGTTATATGAATTTCCCGTAAATTTTGTCTTATTGCGCGCGAATTGAAATTTCGCGTATATCGAGTTGGAATGGTTAAACGGAGACTTGAGAAACTTATACTAGACTATTAAGAGTGAATAATTATAGTGTTAAATGAATTACAATTAAGATTTAGTGCACAATTGAAACAAACCGGAGAGAAAACGGAGGTACGAAAATCGCGCGCGACACTTTTGAGAGTTGACTTTTAGCACAACTTAAGGTAGCTTTTCTTCATTCTTTCTCCTCAAGTTTCACTACACAACCACTCCCTCACCACCTCTCATTCTTGGCCAGCCAAAGGTAAAAGGAGGAGAGAAAAACTACATTCTTTGGCCCCAAGTTTGCTAGCTATTCATCACTCAAGCTTCTCTTACAAGCTAAACACACAAGACACAAAACACTCTCTTCCTCTATGAAATCCCACAATGGATATATTGGGCTGAGATGATGATTAGAAGTGTTGTTTGTATTAATTAAGTGGTAAACAAGATGAGATTTGTTGGTAAATTGAAAGGAAAGTTGAGAAAAAATTTCGGTTGGTTACTGACCAATTCTGTCCTATTTTTGCCGAGACCTTAACTCGAATTTATGGCGATCAAATGATCTTGAAACTGATGTAGATATGTCGTGTAGATTGTGTAGAAAGTTTTCACCGAAAATCACCTGATTTGGTTGAGAAAAAATTGAGTTTTTGGCAAGAACAAAACTGGAAATCGTGTAACAGGGGTCTTCTGGCAGTGATTTTGAACGAGCATATCTCTCTGTTCAGATGTCAAAATCAAGTGCCGTTTTTCTAACGGTATAAAATATATTTTTTGATTCAACTTGAGTGAGCCGTACTAGTTCACCCAAATTATCTGTTCTGTTTTACTGCTGTGCTCGAGAGTCAATAATGAGCTGAGGTTTGTTGCTTGAATTTGATCTAGTTATGAACTAAATTTCAAAACGACTCCTTCTGATGAATTGTAACCTTTTGAATATAGTTTCCAACGCCACCAACCATACTCAATTATAAGTTAAATTGAGTGAAATGTGGTCTAATTACCGAACTGTACCAAATCTGGAAAATCCTCATTTTGCTAGCCGAATGGCCTAACTTGATTTAGAACTTGTTGTTTTGAAAAAATTTGATTTCAAAAATCTACCAAAATGTATATTAGATGTTCCTTAGATTTTTGTTTCACAAATGAGCCAGATTCGAGTTGATTTTATTGGGTAAGATGTTCGAAAAGAAAAAGGAAACAAGAGAAGGCAGATTTGCCTTGAAAATTCTCTGAACTTTGGTAGTCTAAACTATCTTCCCGTGTGAATTTTCAAATGAAATTTGATAGAGGAGTAGTTCTCATATGGAAGTTGAATTGTACCAATTTTGGTGTCAATCTAAGATCGTTTTGATATGTAAATGATATCCCAAAGTTGTTTTTCAAATCTAGAAAATTGACCCAACAGTCTTTGTTTTTGACCAAATTTGAGCTACTATATTTTGACGTTCAAAACTCCGATTTCAGTTCTATTTATTGTGTTTGAAACCTTGATTGGAACACTTATTGTGTTATGAATTCCAAAGGCTAGTTCACTTTCTGTGAATTATGTCGAATTTTCAAAGATTGTCGGAAAACAAAACCGAGTCTACCTTGCTTGTTCAAAACTGAAACTTTAAGCTGGAAACTGAATACTTTCCATTTAGAAACTTGGAAAAGTGTCTTATAGGAACTTTTAGTACCTTGGATCTTTTTTCCAATGGTATTAAATTTTTTATTTTTGGACTTATTGAGTGCAAGATATGATTTTTTTAAATTTGATGCACAAAGTTGAAATTTGCCGATTTCTTAAAAAATTAAATTTTGGAATTGTTTTGAACCCAATTATGTGGAGGATATGAGTTTCCTCGATAACTTTAAAATTCACAATTTTGAATCTTAACTTTCGATAAAATGAAGCTCTTATAAAGACATTGACTTGAATTCTAAAGCAAGTGTGCATTTTTTCTTGTTTGATAAGAAATTTGTGAAATTGTGAGGGTGATTATTGGTCATTTTTCTTCAAACGATCAAGAAGGTCTCGAAGAGAATTCCGAAATTGATCATTAACGACTTTCTTTACTCACATATTTTCAATTTGTGAGTATTCCATATAGAAGTATATGACTTGAATAGTTTTACGACATGTTTTCTCCATGGTCATTATGTGTTTAACTAGTAAGTGCTACCGATAATTAGTCCTATGAACTTTTCCATCGTTTTAAGACGAGTGTGTACTTTATCTCATTTGACCTACTAAAATGATAAATGTCTACTGATTAACCGTGAACTACTACCGTTTACCGTTTACCGTTTACCATTAACCGTGATTACTTACCGTTTACCGATTTACTTGATTACCTGTTTACTTGATTATTTGATTATCGTAAATTACATGTTCATATGAAATTACCGCATATTGCTTACGTGTTTAAGTGTTACTGATAATTGCTCATATGAAATTGTCCACTGTTTTAAAGCGAGTATGTATTTTATCTCACTCGACCTACTAAAATGACAGATTTTTACCGTTAATCGAGAATTATTACCGTTTACCGATTTACTTGATTACTTGTGCATGTTGTAAGCTCTAAGCTGAATTGGGTCTTGCCCTTGGTTACTAACCTGCTCGAATTAGGACCAGGTTCGATCGGGTAGGTTGAAACCCTATAATACCGTTTCAATATAGGACTAGGTTCGATCGGGTAGGTTGAAACCCTAGAATACCGTTTCAATATACTCGAGTATTACTACTAGAGGGATAAGGTGATGGCCAGACAAATCGAGAGGATCTGAAGTTATAAGGTGAAGTTGACCGAAATGGTTCCACTGGAACACCGTATCGTTCAATATGTGTTTATTTCTGTATAATTATAAGGGTAAAAAACAAAAAAAGTCCCCTGTGGTTAACCTAATACACAGAAAAGTTTTTCATGGTTTCAAAATATACAACATGACCCCTCATGCTTTGAACTAAATTGTAAAGGTGACGGAATCCGTTAAACTTAACAGAAATGGACGAAATGACAAAAATGCACTGATATAATTAAGCAAAAGACAGCTCAAAAAAATCATTTGTTTTATTCTCTAAGTAGAGAGAATTGAGGATTAAGGGGTAGAATAGATATATTTGATAAAAATTAGGTATAAATTTTTTTTTTAAATTCCAATAAGTCATTTCCGTTAAGTTTAACGGATTCCGTCATCTTTATAATTTAGTTCAAAGTATGAGGTATCGTATTGTATATTTTGAAATCATAGGAGGCTTTTCTGTGTATTAGACTTACCACAGGGATTTTTTTGTTTTTTACCCTAATTATAACTGTTTCATGTTAATGTGCCAATGTGCAATCTTGAACTATACATGTGTTATACTCAAATTACTTGATTTATTAGAACTGTTTGAGTGTCTTAGAATCTCACTGGGCTGTGTAGCTCATTTCACATTTTTGTTTTCCTTAACAGGGTTCAAGACCGAAAGTACCCGTGAATAGTATTAAACTGTTTTCTTTTGAAAATTTTAAGTTGTATTATAGCAGATGGTTGTAGTACATATTCTTTTGAGTTGTATTAAGATTGAAAGCTAACTAATTGTAAGTATGAAGTGTTTTGGAGCACTTTAAATATATATATTAAAGTTATTTGAAGTATTTTTAGTTTTGAATTATTAATTATAGTGAGTCTCGACGAGAGTTGGGCAGACGTTCAGCTAATATCCTTGGGTTCGCCCTTGAAAGAAGTGGGGGCGTCACACAAACTAACTCACATAAAATGAGAGAAAAAACTCGATGGAATTATAATATTGAATATTACTGTAAATTAACTTACATAAAGTGAGAGAAGCAAACTAACCCACCATCAAGTGAAAGAAGAAACTCATATTTAAGAACTATTTAGGATTGTGGTGACTTGTAAAAAAATATTTCGGGTAGTAGAACTTTTGATCATATTGTTTGGTGCATACTTGAGTAAGCTTTTTCTCTATTTGAAAATAATATGTAATTTTAAAATTCTAAAACATAGTTATGTTTTTATTTAGTTCAAATTTATAATAAAATTGTTAAAGTTAATTTTTTTTATTTTTTAAATACAAAAACTATTTTAAAAATATCAATTTTAAACTTGTGCTTTACTATCGAAAAGCTCTGCTCCTAAACAATGGTGCTCACCAAACACATTAAAACTTAACAATGCATTTATCCTTTAAAAGCACCTTTTAGTAAAAATACCCCAATCCCAAATGAAGCCTTATGGAGACTTAATTCAATATTTCTAAGTCTCGTGAACTCAATTTAACCACTAGATCAAAGCCTTATTGTTACACATTTTATGTTTACTCCCACATGTCGAGGATGTAGATTAAGTTTATTTGCTTTATCAAAGAATAATTTATACTCACCAACTAGGCCAGCACTTGCAAGAAAATAATCCCAGCCGGAGGCT